CCTCACCAATTCCCAAATCCTCCCCAACTCTTCTTTTTTCCTTTGTAGAACCCTCACCAATTCCAAAATCCCCTCCCAACTCCTCCTTTTTGCTGTGTAGAGTCCTCCCCAATTCCCAAATCCTCCCCAACTCCCTCTTTTTCCTTTGTAGAATCCTCCACAATTCCCAAATCCTCCCTAACTCATCCTTTTTCCTTTGTGGACCCCCCCCCCCAATTCCCAAATCCTCCCCAACTCCTCCTTTTTCCTTTGTAGAATCCTCCCCAATTCCCAAATCCTCACCAACACCTCCATTTCCTTTTTGTAGAATCCCCACCAATCACCAAATCCTCCCCAACTCCTCATGTTTCCTTTTGTAGAATCCTCCCCAATTCCCAAATCCTCCCCAACTCCTCCTTTTTTCCTTTGTGGAATCCTCCCCAATTCCCAAATCCTCCCCAACTCCTCCTTTTTCCTTTGTAGAATCCCCCCCTCAATTCCCACGCACTCCCCAACTCCTCCTTTTCCTTTGTAGAATCCTCCCCAATGCCCAAAACACTCCCCAACTCCCCCTTTTTCCTTTGTAGAATCCTCACCAATTCCCAAATCCTCCCCAACTCCTCTCTTTTTTTCCTTTTGTAGAACCCTCCCCAATTCCCCAATCCTCCCCAACTCATCTTTCCTTTTCCTTTGTAGAATCCTCCACAATTCCTCAATCCTCCCCAACTCCTCCTTTTTTCCGCTGTGGAATCCTCCCAAAATTCCAAAATCCTCCGCAACTCCTCCTTGTTCCTTTGTAGAATCCTCACCAATTCCCAAATCCTCCCCAACTCTTCCTTTTTCCTTTGTAGAATCCTCCCCAATTCCCGAATCCCCCCCAACTCCTCATATTTCATTTGTTGAATCCTCCCCAATTCCCGAATCCTCCCTAACTCCCCCTTTTTCCTTTGTAGAATCCTCACCAGTTCCCAAATCCTCTCTAACTCCCTCTTTTTCCTTTGTAGAATCCTCCGCAATTCCAAAATCCGCCTCAACTCATCCTTCTTCCTTTGTAGAATCCTCACCAATTCCCCAAATCCTCCCCAACTCCTCCTTTCTCCTTTGTAGAATCCTCCCCAATTCCGAAATCCTCCCCAAACTCCTCCTTTTTCCTTTGTAGAATCCTTCCCGATTCCCAGATCCTCCCCAACTCCTCCTCTTTCCTGTGTAGAATCCTCCCCAATTCCCAAATCCTCACCAATTCCTCCTTTTCCCTTTGTAGGATCCTCCCCAATTCCCAAACCCTCCCCAACTATTCCTTTTTCCCGTGTAGAAGCCTCCACAATTCCCAAAATCCTCCCCAACTCCTCGTTTTTCCTGTGTAGAATCCTCACCAATTCCCAAATCTCCCCCAACTCCTCCTTTTTCCGTTGTAGAACCCTCCCCAATTCCCAAATCCTCCCCAACTCCCCTTTCTCCTTTGTAGAATCCTCCACAAAGTCTCAAATCCTCCCCAACTCCTCCCTTTTCCTTTGTAGAATCCTCCACAATTCCCAAATCCTCCCCAACTCCCCCTTTTTCCTTTGTAGAATCCTCCTCAATTCCCAAATCCTCCCCAACTATTCCTTTTTCCGTTTGTAGAATCCTCCCCAATTCCAAAATCCCCCCCAACTCCTCCTTTTTCCTTTGTAGAATCCTCCACAATTCCCAAATCCCCCCCAGCTCCCTCTTTTTCCTTTTGTAGAATCCTCCACAACTCCAAAACTTCAATTTTCCTTTTGTAGAATCCCCCCCAATTCTCAAAATACCCCCCAACTCATCCTTTTTCGCTTGTAGAATCCTCTCAAATTCCCAAATCCTCCCGATCACATCCTTTTTCCTTTGTAGAATCCTCCCCAATTCCCAGATCCTCCCCAACTCTTCCTTTTTCCCTTGTAGAATCCTCCCCAATTCCCAAATCCTCACCAACTCCTCCATTCTCCTTTGTAGAATCCTCCCCAATTCCCAAATCCTCCCCAACTCTTCCTTCTTCCGTTGTAGAATCCTCCTCAATTCCCAAATCCTCCCCATTTCATGTGTGGAATCCTTCTCAATTCCCAAATCCTCCCCAACCCCTTTTTTTCCTTTTGTAGAATCCTCCCCAAATACCCAGATCCTCCCCAACACCTCCTTTTTTTTCTGTTCGTAGAATCCTCCCAAATTCCCAAATCCTCCCCAACTCTTCCTTTTTCCGTGGTAGAACTCACCCCAATTCCCAAATCCTCCCCAACTCATCCTTTTTCCTCTGTAGAATCCTCCACAATTCCCAAATCCTCCCCAGCTCCTCCTTTTTCGTTTGTAGAACCCGCCACAATTCCAAAATCATCCTCAACTCCTCTTTTTTCCTTTGTAGAATCCTCCCCAATTCCCAAATCTTCCCCAACTCATCTTTTCTCCTCTGTGTAATCCTCCCCAATTCCAAAATCCTCCCCAACTCCTCTTCTTCTCCTTTGTGGAATCCTCCCCAGTTCCCAAATCCTCCCCAAATCATCATTTTTCATTTGTAGAATCCTCCCCATTTCCCGAATCCTCCCCAACTCCTCCTTTTTCCGTTGTAGAACCCTCCCAAATCCCTAGATCCCTTCCAAATCCTATTTTCTCATTTGTAGAATCCTCCACAATTCCACAATTCTCCCAAACTCATCCTTTTTTCCTTGGTAGAATCCTCCCCACTTCCAAAATCCTCTCCAACTCATCCTTCTCCTTTGTAGAGTCCTCCCCAATTCCAAAATCCTCCCCAACTCCCCCTTTTCCTCTGTAAAATCCTCCCCAATTCCCAGATCCTCCCCAACTCCTCCTTTTTCCTTCGTAGCAGCCTCCTCAATTCCCAAATCCTCCCCAACTCTTCCTTTTTTCCTTTGAAGAATCCTCACCCATTCCTAAATCCTCCCCAACTCCTCCTTTTTCCTCTGTAGAATCCTCCCCAAATTCCGAAGTCCTCCCCAACTCCTCCTTTTCCCTTTGTAGAATCCTCACCAATTCCCAAATCCTCCCCAACTTGTCCTTTTTCCTTTGTAGAATCCTCCCCAATTCCAAACGCCTCCCCAACTCCTCCTTTATTTTCCTTTGTAGAATCCTCCCCAATGCCAAAAAATCCTCCCCAACTCCTCCTTTTTTCCTTTGTAGAATCCTCCCCAATTCCAAAAATTCTCCCCAACTCCCTCTTTTTCCGTTGTAGAATCCTCCCCAATTCCAGAATCCCCCCCAACTCCTCCTTTTTCATTTGTAGAATCCTCCCCAATTCCCAAATCCTCCCCAACTCCTCCTTTTTCCTTTGTAGAAGCCTCCCCAAATCCCAAATCCTCCCCAACTCCTCCTTTTCTTTTGTTGAATCCTCACCAATTCCCAAATCCTCCCCAACTCCTCCTTTTTCCTTTGTAGAATCCTCCCCAATTCCCAAATCCTCCCCAACTCCTCCTTTGTCCTGTGAAGAATCCCCCCCAAGTCCCAAATCCTCCCCAACTCCCTCCTTTTCCTTTGTAGAATCCTCCCCAATTCCCAAATCCTCCCAAACTCTTCCTTCATCCTTTGTAGAATCCTCCCCAATTCCCAAATCCTCCCCAACTCTTCCTTTTTCCTTTGTAGAATCCCCCCCAATTCCCAAATCCTCCCCAACTCCCTCTTTTTCCTTTGTAGAATCCTCCCCAATTACCAAATCCTCCCCAACTCCTGCTCATAATTTCTGTAGAATCCTAATCGTGAAATCCCCCCCCCAACCCCGCTGACGTCATTACAGGGCCCAAAAATAATTATCGAAACGATTTTTCCGGTAATGTAATGTTTTTTGCCCCTGCAGTATGTGTGTATGTCTGTACGCGTATGTGTGTATGTGTGCGTTTGTGTGTGTGTGAATGTGTGCATGTGTGTACGTGTGTATGTGTGTATGTGTGTAAGTGTGTATGTGTATATGTATGTATGTGTGTATGTGTGTATGTGTATGTGTCTGTGTGTGTGCCTGTGCGTGTGTGTGTGTGTCTGTGTGTATGTGTGCCTGTGCGTGCGTGTGCGTGTTTCTGTGTGTGTGCGTGTGTCTGCGTGTCTGTGTGTCTGAGTGTCTGTGTGTCTGAGCCTTGCTCGCCAGGCCAGGAGGCGGCACGCATCTTGTATCAGAAAACAAAAAGGAACAACAGAAAAAGATCAGAGGCTCAATGCGCAAGCACGTGGTCGAGATCGGACGATCCCGCGTCTGAGCCCCGCGAGCAACCACCTGGTTAAACCCTCGACCGACGAGCAGCAAGAGGGGGGAAGAAGAGAGGGGCGCAGAGGGCGGAGGACGCCGGGAGGAGCCGGAAAGCTACGCCTTTCGCCAGCAGACCGCATCGCCTGCCCGTGGCGGCAGCCCGCCGGGTGCCCAGGCGAAGCGCCCCGAACCGACGCTAACCGACGCTAATCGACCGACGCTAATCGACTCGAGTCGACGCTCATCGACGCTGCACGACGCTCATCGGCGCTGAATCGGCGCCCTCTCATCGATCACCAAACGCTGGCTCGCGGCCACGACGCGTCGCCGGGAGCAGACCACCAAACCCCCGGGAACGGGGCACCGCGTGCGCCGAGGGCCTGGGCCCGGGCCCGGAGGATCGGCCTGGCCAGGCCGGGCGCGCAGGCGTACGACTCGGTGCCCCCCGGGGGGGAGGGAGGCCTCGTGCACTCCTCCTCCTCCGCCTCCGCCTCCTCCTCCTCCGCCCCCTCCTCCTCCTCGGCCTCCGCCTCCTCCTCCTCCTCCGCCTCCGCCTCCGCTTCCTCCTCCGCCTCCGCTTCCTCCCCCGCCCCCTCCTCCTCCTCCTCCTCCTCCTCCTCCTCCTCATCCTCCCTCCTCCTCCTCCTCCTCCTCCTCCGCCTCCGCCTCCGCCTCCGCTTCCTCCTCCTCCTCCTCCGCTCCCTCCTCCACCTCCTCCTCCTCCTCCTCCTCCTCCCCCTCCTCCTCCTCCTCCTCCTCCTCCTCCTCCTCCTCCACCTCCTCCTCCTCCGCCTCCGCCTCCTCCTCCTCCTCCGCCTCCGCTTCCTCCTCCTCCTCCTCCCCCGGACCTCCGCCCTCTCGATCATGGAGCGCCGCAGCAGGCCCTTGGTGCGCGCGGCCTTCCTCACCGCGGACCTCGAGGGACAACGCCAAGGGGGGGAGGGCTGCAACAGTCAACACCAATCCACGAGAAACCCGTCGCAGGAGACCAAAGCATAAAAAATCGCCGAAGTTTCTCCGCCGAGGGCTTGATTTCTTGACAGCGGCTGCCAGCGAAGAAACTCAGGGTATCCTGGGCCAGGAGGTTTATGAATGACTCGCGCAAAGCATCGCAGCGTCACCACCCTCACGGTACCCTGCCAGTTGCGATTTCTTCGCGACCGCTGCAACCCTTCAATCCGAAGACAAATCAATGAAGCCCAGGGTACCCTGGCTAACCGCATAGTGATTCTTGGCGTGGGCTCCCACTCTTGGGACTTTTGTCCACCTTGGCCTCGAAATGAGGCGACTTCGGGGAAAATCTGAAGATCGCCGAACACCAGCGAGAAAGATCGGAACTATCGGAGGAATGTCGGGGCCAACCGAAAGAACGAGGCGAGGCCACCGTGGACCCCGTACCGTTCCCCGGCACTGACGGACAGATCATGACAAGTCTCAGACACCAGCGAAAAACAGCGTCAGTGGGCGTCGGCTCGAAGGGGCAGACATCGACCTGGCATCGGCGACACATCGCCGATGGATCAGCGATGGGCTCTCGACAACGGAGCCGTGCGTGCCTGGGCGGTGGGCTATCGGGACCCCCTCGGCGATCGAGAAGCAATCTTGTGCCGATGCGCCCCCCACCCCGAGTAGCATCCCCCCCCCCAACGCTGACCCCTGGATGCCTCGAGAGCTCCTCGTGCGGCTCGTGGCAGAGCATGCACATCGAGCCGTCGCGGCAGCCGCGGAGGGAGCGGATGAATTTGCACGGCGTGCACTCGCCCCGCCTGTGCAGGCTGGCGCCCAGGCTGGAGAGGCCCTCAGGAGCACCCTCCTGCATCGGAAGAAAAACGGCATATAACACAATTTTCGGAACTCCGCGCTGATTTCTCGGATCGGCGCTGGGCCCCCCCCCCCCTCGACTCCCGGGAGCCGGTCCGAAAAATCCGCGCGGAATTCTGGAAAATGACCACGCCAGGGAAAACCACCCAATCAATGGATGATCCGACAATTTTGCAGACATCGTTACTCGCCGCAATTTCGCTGGAAGGTCCGTAGAAGCAACAACTACGGATTGTCGTGCAATATCTTATAGACTTGTGCCCCTTCTCGCCTTTTCGGGTGTACGTCGATGCAAGCTGGCCCAGCGGGGGAAGGGGGGCCCGCTTTCGTCCTGAGTTGTTTTCTGGCGATCCCGCGAAGCCAGACAAGGGCCCTTGGAGGCTGAAACATGCCCCACCCCTACTCGGGGATGGACAGACCCCCCTTTAGTAAAACGTGGTTTAGTGAAAACGACCTGAGGCCCAAACCTGGCGGGCGCAAGCCTGGAAAATAACGGCCACGGCGCCATCTCGAGAACCGAAAACGGACAATTCACTAATCGACGTGTCACTGTTGGGGGTTCTGTCCACCCCCGACCTACGCGAAGAAGAACGCATAAACATAAACGTTCAACGGTCCGCGCGGATTTCTCTTGGCTCTGCGCTGGACCTCCCCCCCACGCGCGCGGAGTGTGCCAGGGGCGGCGCCAGAGGCTGCGCCAAAGCGGGCCTGCGCAGATACAAACCAATCCGCGCAGACCGTCCAGAAGGCATTCGGGCGCTGGCAGAACTGGGTTTAAAGGGACCTGTGGTTTAATGATGTGCACTGGGGGACCCCCCCCGCCCCGTTCCGCGAAACGAAACTGCCGCCACCCGACCAAAAGCACCGACGACGGCAGACCTGCCCGATTTCGGGGCTCCGGGGCCCTACCACTCACCAGGCCCCCTTCCCTGGGGTCCTGGCTATACCCGGTTTTCTGGGGCCCCCTGCCCTGGGGTCCTGGCTTCCCTGGGGTCCTGGCCATACCGAAACCCTCCCGTCGCGTTCGGAGAGCGTTTCTTTGTCTTCGCTTCTCGCGACGGCGGCCGCCTGGCTGGCCCGGGCCGCCACCCTGCCCCCCCCCCGGGCAACCTCACGAGCCGTGCGGGCCTCCGAGCTGGCTCTGCCCTGGCCTCCCAGGAGGGCTATACACAGCAGCACCAGGACGTCGGCGTCTTGCTTCCCGTCGAGATCTGAGGCAGGCCCGATAGACCTATATAGGTCTGGAGTGCCGCTTTCTGGCGCTCTGGGAAGGTCGGGGCGGCTATTCCAGAACATGCTCAGACGGCGGCGCCGCGACACGTGGCGCTGCCGGTCGCCCGCGCCCCCCCCCCTTGGCACGGAACGCCCGCCGTCGCCCGGGAACCTCGCCATCGCTCGGACGTCCATTCCCTGTGCTCTTTTCGGTTTCGCGCGTGGCTTTTTCGCCAAATGATCAAGGATGCTCCTCGAAGGTCCTCGCCCAAGGAAAAATGCACACGTCCGAGCGATGCCAAGGAACCAGGCGCGCTCTCGCCTCCACGACGCGACGGGGCCTGGGCTACGCTTTTGCTCCGCGGGCGGCTCCCTGGGGCCGGCGGCCTCGGGGCCCGCCTTGCCGGCGAGGCTGCAGGCCCGGCTGCTGGAGGACCCGGCGTAGTCGGTGGAGGAGGCGCTGGCGGCCTCTGGCCAAGGGAGCCCAGGGCCGAGCCGAGGCATCGCATCGGCGATCGAAAGAAGTAGGAGCGGCGGAGATCGGCGGCCGAGTCGGGGCAGGTCGAATCGGCAGAGATCGGCAGGCTAATGTGCGTCCAGTGAGGAATCGGAGCCCAAATCGGAATCCGAAATCGAAGCGAATCGGAATACATCAAAGTCGAATCGAATCGAATCGAGCCCTGTCTGGCGGCTACAGCGGCGGCGTGCGGCGGCAGGCGGCGGCGGCAACGTGCAGCGGCGTGGCGGCGGCGTGCTGCGGCGGCGTGCGGCGGCAGGCGGCGGCGGCGGCAGCGTGCAGCGGCGTGGCGGCGGCGGGCTGCGGCGGCGTGCGGCGGCGGCGTGCGGCGACAACGTGCGGCGGCGTTGCGGCTGGTGCGTGCGGCGGCGTGCGGCGGCGGCGTGCGGCGGCGGCGTGCGGCGGCGTTGCGGCTGCGGCGTGCGGTGGCGTGCGGCGGCGAGCGGCGCGCGCGGCGCCCCTAGACCCTCTCGCGTCGGTCTTTTGACAGCAAATACATGGGCACATCGAGGCGCTGCGCAGCAAAAGCATAAAAAAACGGCCCCCTCGCGTCGGGAAGCAATCATCCGCCGACCCTGCGGGTTGCCCCCACCCCCCCCCCCGCCCCCCCGAGAGCCAGTCCCGGCCGGCTTGGAGGGGAAAGGGGCCCCTGGGGAAAATGCAAGGCACCGATACCGCCATCCCCCAGACCTCCACTGGAGTGCGCCCTGCCCAGGATGTCGAGGCGAGGCCAGCGGGGGCGGCGACGGAGACCCCGGAGGCCCCCAGAAAGGGGAGAACAAGGGAAGGGCAGAGATGTGGGCACCTCTTCATCCTCGGAGTCTCGCCAGATCCGCCGCGGGGGCCATCTGCTCCAGAAGTGATCCTGAGCGGCCGCGGTGGGTCTCGAGCCGCCCTGACCTCCCAGAGTGGAGAAAAAAAAGCCACCACGGATCGATGGATGCATCTGGACTGCCTCAAACCTCGACAGGAATTACGACGTCGACGTCCTGGTGTTATGTTTTATTCCTCCTGGAAGGTCAGGGAAATGGCCCCAGGCCGCCCAGAGACGGTCGAAGAAGGCCTCGGCGTGGACTCGAAGCCCTCAGGATCGTCCGAACCAAAGGGGCCCCCAAAAAGGCCCCAAGACGGCCAAGGCAGCCAGGCGGCCCCCACGAGAGCCTCATGACGACCCAGGAAGGCACCACAGTGGCAGAAGAGCAGCCGAGAAAGGCCTCAGAGAGGTCCCACAATGGCGACTCGGCTTCTCGACGTTCAAGTGCTGTTCGCTTGATTTGCTTTGTTTGGTGGTTTGTTGCGCGGCGTAATGTTCTGCAAATCGTTTCAAAGACCCGCGCGCTTGAAATCGCAGTGTGAGTGCCTTACGAAAGAATCAACGTGTAATTCGCCCACAGAAATTCATCTTCAAACACCGCACAACAGGATTGCACGTGTAGTACACATACAATACGAATCAAACCGACATCCACCCAACGCACAACATTGCATCCTTACAGCCCCGCGCAACACAAAGCAATGTGTATATCGTTTACAAACAAGATACTACCATGTTGAGTCGCCAAAAGCTTCGAATTTGTAGCGCGCAAAAAATAACAAATATGCAAATCTACCACAATATGCTACACAAAGGAATATGACTACAAGGCTGGACAGAAAACTAGAAGTCATACAATCATGATCAAACAAACTATCGCCCACAAACGAAGTCGAGATCATTACCCTCTAAGAAGGATGCCGTGTGTAGTCCACACAGTCAGGATCGCATTGCAAATTGTCCTCAAGTATTCCCTTTGAAAGGGAGCCCCGAAAAGTCTGGAAGGAGGCACCAACAAACTGTAACGTGTGGTTTGACGTCCTTATGTTTGGTTTGTTTTGTATTCTGGCGGCAGGGGCGGGGGGGGGGGGGGGGGTAGAAAAAAAGCGTGGACCACACATCCATAGTTCCCAACCATCCTGTGGAGTTGGGTTCTCGTGTTGGAGAGAAAAAAAACGGTGCCCCGCGTCTCCTTCTCCTCCCGCTGCCCTCTCCCTCCTCCCTCCTCCCCTCCTTGCCTCTGCTCTCTGCACACCCCTCACTCCACCGTTGTAGCGTATAGCAAGCATAGGGAGCTCCACCGAAGGCCCCAGTGGGGGTGTTCGCATGCGGTTCCCCCACCCAGGGCAGCGTTTCGTGGCCCCATAGGGAGCTCCACCGAAGGCCCCAGTGGGGGTGTTCGCATGCGGTTCCCCCACCCAGGGCAGCGTTTCGTAGCCCCATAGGGAGCTCCACCGAAGGCCCCAGTGGGGGTGTTCGCATGCGGTTCCCCCACCCAGGGCAGCGTTTCGTGGCCCCATAGGGAGCTCCACCGAAGGTCCCAGTGGGGGTGTTCGCATGCGGTTCCCCCACCCAGGGCAGCGTTTCGTAGCCCCATAGGGAGCTCCACCGAAGGCCCCAGTGGGGGTGTTCGCATGCGGTTCCCCCACCCAGGGCAGCGCTTCGTGGCCCCATAGGGAGCTCCACCGAAGGCCCCAGTGGCACAGTTCGCATGCGGTTCCCCCACCCAGGGCAGCGTTTCGTAGCCCCATAGGGAGCTCCACCGAAGGTCCCAGTGGCGCAGCCGCATGCGGTTCCCCCACCAGGGAGCTCCACCGAAGGTCCCAGTGGCACAGCCCGCATGCGGTTCTTTAGGGAGCTCCACCGCCCCAGTATTGTTCGGCCCCATAGCCGAAGGTCCCAGTGGCGCACGCGCCCCCCCTTCCCACCCCACCCCACCCACCCACCCAGGCAGCGTTTCGTGGCCCACAGGGAGCTCCCCCGAAGGTCCCAGTGGCACAGCCGCATGCGTCCCCCCCACCCAGTACAGCGCTTCGTGGCCCCATAGGGAGCCCCACCGAAGGTCCCAGTGCTACCGTCCGCATGCGTCCCCCCCCACCCAGTACAGCGCTTCGTGGCCCCATAGGGAGCTCCACCGAAGGTCCCAGTGGCGCAGTTCGCATGCGTCCCCCCACCCAGTACAGCGCTTCGTGGCCCCATAGAGGGCCCCACCGAACGCGATACCCACAACTGCATATGGTTGGGTCCTTCGCCAGGCTAAGTTTGGTTGTGTTTGTTGTGTTGTTCTCTTGGCCTCCTCCCATTTGACAGTCTGGCTCCTATTCAGAAGGAAGTCCTTTTGTAGGAGACTTACACATTGATTATCACTGTGTATTCCAAGTGGTCACTTCGTCAGGAGACGCATTTCAATTCCTGTGGGCGACTTACACGTTGATTCCACTGGTAGTTTGGGCATTAAAACATCCAAGTGCGCGGTTATATAATAGAACCCAGGATGTGGTGGATGTGCATATTGAACCCAATCGTGTGGATCACAAGTGCATGTTTATTGCTGGGCTTTGAAGTCGATGTCCTTGTGTGAGCGAGGTACCCCCTGATCCCTGTTTTACAAGTTACAAGCAAGATCACTCATGAGAATTCACGAAAGGGGAGATTTGAATATTGTTTCTATGCGCGTCGCAGAACAATGTTTGTGAGAACTGTAGGCAACCCCTTGTGCACGAGATGTGCCAGTTGTCACCTACCCTGTGGATTTCAAAACCAATATATATCTATATATATATATATATATATATATATATATATTCCTCTTCCCATATTTTTATAAGCCCGGGCGGGGGGGAAACCCATCCCCCCCCCAAAAAAAAACTGGACTCCCGGGACCTGGGGCTTTGGGGCCCTCCGGACGGGGCTCGAAGCGGCCACCGGGCCTCGCAAGGCGTTTTGCCAAGCCTTCCCAGCACACTTAGGGCGATAAGAGGGGGTCATCGGAGACGTCCCAGAGACCCCCAAGACAGCACAAGAGCGCTCCAAAGAGTGACCGACGTGACCTCAAGATGGCCCAAGAGGCCTCCAGGACGGCCCCAAAGAGGCCTCCAAGAGCACTCCCAAGGAGGCCCCGCGAGGCAAAAAAGATTGATTTTCTGAGGGTTATTGGTGAATTTGGGGGTTCTCCTCTTTTCGGCTTCCCGACGCTCCAAGACGGCGGTCTTCTGGGCGTCCGAAGCCGCCTGGGAGGCTCCCAAATCGCCCCACAACCATCCGAAAAGGCTTCCAGGCAATCCAAGAGAGCCCCAAAACGGCACAATACGGGTCGCAGATGGCCCTCAGAGAGCCCCATGGCGGCCCAAGATGGCCCAAAGACACCCTCCGAAGAATTCCAGATCGTGTTTCGGTCGTTCAGGGAGACGGCGGTTGGAGGCAGGGTGGCCCGAGGAAGCCCCCAGAGGCCCCCAGAATACACCCAGGAGGCCTCCAGAAGGCGTTAAGAAAGCCTGAAACAACTTTTGTGAGGCCCCTAGTGGCTCTCCAAGGAGGGGCCTCCGCAAAAACGAGCTGAGGAGGATGGGGAGAATGCGCAGGGTATGGCGAAAATAAGGAACAATAAGCATGGAGGAAGGATAACGAATATCATTATAGCGGCAATGCCAGAAAAGGTAATCAGGAGGTATCGCTAAATTGTCGGCTTGACCTTGCTGCCGTTCCGCCTGCATACCAAACTTCGAGGACCAAGGTGCATGGCGCGAAGCGCCACTGCAGTCTTGTGTGTATATATATACACGTATACAATCACGGATCGAGAACGACCTCTATAACATAAAAATGATGGTAGTGATGGAAATATGTACACACATATGGTTATGAAGATAGACCAGCCTAATACTATACGAACTCGGCGACCGTTGGGTGTGTCCATATTTTGTGTATATATTATATATGGCGGGTGCGTATACATATGTGTGCCTAGCATTTCCACTGCACACATCATACAGATATGTCGATGTGTGCATGCGTAGATGTTCAGATATGTAGATTTTCGCACATAGATGGGCAAGCTGAATGTATACATGCGTGCACGTACCTATACACGTAAATTAGCCTGGCGAAGGACCCGACCATATGCAATTGTGGGTATCGCAGTCGGGGGAGCCCCGTATGGGGCCACGAAACGCTGTACTGGGTGGGGGGGGGACGCATGCGAACTGCGCCACTGGGGCCTTCGGTGGAGCTGGGGGGAGACGCATGCGAACTGCGCCACTGGGACCTTCGGTGGAGCTCCCTATGAGGCCACAAAACGCTGCCCTAGGTGAGGGAACCGCATGCGAACTGCGCCACTGGGACCTTCGGTGGAGCTACCTATGGGGCCACAAAACGCTGCCCTGGGTGGGGGGGGCGCATGCGAACTGCGCCACTGTGACCTTCGGTGGAACTCCATATGAGCCCCCAAAGGATGCCCTTGGTGAGGGAACCGCATGCGGGCTGTGCCACTGGGACCTTCGGTGGAGCTCCCTATGGGGCTACGAAACGCTGCCCTGGGTGGGGGAACCGCATGCGGGCTGTGCCACTGGGACCTTCGGTGGAGCTCCCTATGGGGCCACGAAACGCTGCCCTGGGTGGGGAACGCATGCGGGCTGTGCCACTGGGACCTTCGGTGGAGCTCCCTATGGGGCCACGAAACGCTGCCCTGGGTGGGGGGAACCGCATGCGGGCTGTGCCACTGGGACCTTCGGTGGAGCTCCCTATGGGGCTACGAAACGCTGCCCGGGGGAACCGCATGCGGGCTGTGCCACTGGGTGGGGGAACCGCTTGGGCGGGGGAACCGCAGCGGGCTGTGCCACTGGGACCTTCGGTGGAGCTCCCTATGGGGCTACGAAACGCTGCCCTGGGTGGGGGAACCGCATGCGGGCTGTGCCACTGGGACCTTCGGTGGAGCTCCCTATGAGGCCACGAAACGCTGCCCTGGGTGGGGGAACCGCATGCGGGCTGTGCCACTGGGACCTTCGGTGGAGCTCCCTATGGGGCCACGAACCGCGGCCCTGGGTGGGGGAACCGCATGCGGGCTGTGCCACTGGGATCTTCGGTGGAGCTCCCTATGGGCCCTGGGTGGGGGAACCGCATGCGGGCTGTGCCACTGGGACCTTCGGTGGAGCTCCCTATGGGGCTACGAAACGTGTGAGGGGTGTGCCGAGAGCAGAGGCAAGGAGGGGGAGGAGGGAGGAGGGAGGGGGCAGCGGGAGGAGAAGGAGACGCGGGGCACCGTCTCTTCAAAACGAGGACCCAACACCACAGGATGGTTGGGAAGCCATCGAGTGATATCAAGATACATGGATTGATGTGTACAAAAGAGAGAACGAGAACAAACAAACAAAACACGGCCCCCCACGACACGATTCCTCCAATCCGTCGTGGGCGCGCGGAACGCGAGAAGGCAACCGCTACCCGCTCTCGCTTCCACTCAGTGTTGTGTGTGGGAGTGTAAGAGAGCGGCCACTTCCACCTCCTACGGGTAGCAAGGCCGCCCTCTCGCATTCGCGCACACAGCGCTAAACGGAAATGGGAGGGGGTAATAGCTGCCCTTTCGCGCTCTGCAAGCCCAAAATCGATGAACCGGCTTTACAAACAAGACTCCCATGGATGGTGGACTTGCATACTGGATCCAACCATGTGGATTGCAATTCGATGGTTATGTCATATGGCTTTGCAGCAGATGCCATGTTGTGGGCAATTTACGAATTCATCCCCATTGTACGGGCTACATGTAAAAGCTCGCATGTGTGAATTTACTATTTGACGCCTGCAGATGCTGGATTCACAAATGGGTTTCACATTGGGTTGTCTATGCGCATTACGAATACAACTTTTTCGTGCGAGTTGCATCAAGATTTCTTTTGCCGGCGGAATATCAGATGTATCCTATTGTGTGGATGAGAAAATGTCAGTGGGTTCTCTTAGTCAAAGAAAACTGATCTGGCACATCTTTGGTCCCGCCTGGGGAGGCTGGTCCCTGAACGCCCCAGGAGGGCCCGACGAGCGCCCCAAGACTGTCACGATGGGCCCAAGATGACCCAAGAAGACGGGCCCAAGATGGCCACTCGACGGCCCAACGGGCTCCCCAGATGGCCCAAGGGAGCCCGGAGACGACTCCCATAAGGCCCCCAGGAGGCAAACATTTTGGGGTTGCCGTAGGTTTCGGTGCCATGTTCGCAGAATCAGATTCTCGGTCTCCAGAGCGCTCGAGACGGCCGAAGACCGCCGAGATCGCTCCAAGATGACCCAATAAGCGCCCAAGATCGCCCATAGACGAGCCCAGAACGGCCTAAGAGGGCTCCAAGGCGCCCCAAGGGGGCCCCAGAGAGGCTCCAGACGGCCGAAGAGGGCGTCAAGACAGCCCAACAGGGCTCACAGACCGCCCCAGAGCAGCCCCAAGAGGCTCCCAAGAAGGCCCAGAGGGACCAAGACGGCCTCAGGGGGGGCCCCAGACGGCCCAGGAGGACCCCCAAGACAGCCTGAAAACAGCCACAGATACCCCGAATACATATATATATATATATGTATATATATATATATATATATATATATATATATATGCACATGTGTGTATCCATACGTGCATCGAAAAATTGTTCGAGACCGTATCAAACAACTCGCATACGATTCGACAACAATGTTGGTCTGTGCAATATGCATACAGGCATGCATGGATATATGCAAACATACATACACATAAATGTATGTGGTGATGTGCGCATGCGAGTAGAAACACGGGTGCATGTACAAATAGTCAAGTGTACATGAACATAGTGATGCGTGTATACGTGTCACTACATGTGGATTGATAGATCGATGGTGGATGGGTATGCGCATGCATGTATGTGAAAATGTGTACATATATATAGATATAAACGAACTGATCGGCTGATCTCTAAACGATACTGATAGATACGTACTGAGGGGAAAAAGAGAGAGACAGGGAGAGAGAGAGAGAGAGAGAACAAACACAAACACTGCCCCCACCAGTATCCCTAATCAACATAAATGTTGTTGGGCACGCACAATGCAAGAGGGCAACCACTACCCCCTCCCACTTACCCTTGGCTTTGTGAGTGGGGGTGAAAGAGAGCAGCCGCGTCCCGCTCTTCTGTGGGAAGGATGTGGCTGCTCCCTTAAACTCCACACACAACACTAAGGGGAAGTGGGGTGGGCGGGGGTGGGGGAAGAGCGCTTGACCTCTCTCGCTCTGCGCGCCCGAAACTGGTGGAGGAAACGGTGGGGGGCAGTGGATGCTCTCTGTCTCTCTCTTTCTCTCCCTCTCTCTTTCTCCCTCTAGTTGTTTCTGTCTCTCTCTCTCTCTCTCTCTTTCATACTTCCCCCCCATACACACACGCAACACAGACTGGGCATTGGGAGGGAGCGACCGGTTACCCCTCACACCCTCCACGCACACGCGCAGGGTGGAATTGAAAACGGAGGGTGTGTTGCGCCCTCGCTCTCTTTTACTCCCCATGTTTCTCTCTCCCTCTCTCCTCCCTCGGAAAGCTGCTGTACTTACATTACATGTATATATATACATATGTATATACACAGATGTCTCGACACTTGCGTATTCACATACATCTGTAGACGTCTGCCGAATACAACATGAGCGATCGACATGCGAGAGATCGACGAAGCGAGATGAGCGAAGAGTAAGAGAAAAAGAGAGAGAGAGAGAGAGAGAAAGAGACCAAACAAAACAAATAACGACCATCAATCAAAAACGAATGGGAACGTCGATGAACCGAGTCGGCAAAACAACGATCTCCGAAAGCGCCAAGCGGTTCCAGAGCGCCCGAAGACGACCCAGGAGCATCCAAAGAGGCCGGAAGCCTTCACGACGCCTCTGGCAAGCCAGATCGCACAAGATACGAATTGGCCAAACAACGTCATTCTCACCCTCGCGCCTGAGAACGAACTGGAGGATACGGAACGGCCCGAGCAGCCAATACCAAAAAAAATCTTAAATGGCATGAGATAAGAGACGCAAAGAGGGAACCAAAGGGGGAGGACAGGCGGACATGCAGGCGGTTGCTCGCAAACGCGCGCGAAGCTAGACAGGGTATGCTGCTAGTGTTAGACCTCGGGGGGCTGTTACCTGGGCCTTGGACCGCCAAATAACGACTCAGCAGAAAACACTTCGCCCACGGGAAGGACCAAGACCTCTGCGGGCCCACGACAGAAAGCAAAAACACTACGTCGGGGAGGAATGATAGATTACATAGAGAAAGCAGATGCACAAATACATACATTAACACATCTCTCTCTCTATATATATACACATGGAAAATTGGTCCAGCGGCGGCGGCAACGGCGGCAGCAGCGGCGGCAGTGGCAGCCAACAGCAGCGTGCGGCGGCGTTCGTGTGGCGGCGGTAGCTGCAGCGGCGGCGAGCAGCGAGCGGCAGCGGTGGCATCGGCGGCGAAGCCGCCGCCTCCACTTCAGGCTTCCAGCCCGAGGCGCTCGACTGCGAACTCGTCGTGCCGACGCTGCTGGCCTTAGGCGAAGAGACACAAAATCATCAACACATATACGCTTTCGGAGACCCGCGCGGATTCCCCCAAAGACAAAGAACATCGCAAGTGTTCCACACCGGGCGTTTTCGCCCGGGCCCCGGGGCCATCACAGATCGATCCGGCTCGAAAAATGGCGCAAGAAAATGGGGATGTAGGGCTCTGGTCGCGAGTTCCTGCTATGCTGGATCTCAGGATCTCTCACGTCGCACGATTTGTCATTATTTGTCTGGGCTGTTCGATCTGATGGTGATCGTTTTCCTATTCGGCGTTTCGGCATTGGGCGGACATTGGGCGGAAAGGGGGGGGAGATGGGGTCTCGCTCCAGACCTCTGCTTAGTGCGACTGCTTGCAGCGGTGCGTCCCTAATGGGGGAGGCCCCACCTGCTTGCAACAGGCGCCAAAAACAGCCAAGATCTCTACTCCAAGGTGGGGGGGGGGCGTGCGAGGGCCCTCGCCGATCTGCAAAACAACGAATAAAACAACGACCACACGTTTAATGATGTTTCGCTATGCTGCACGTTGTATGTCCTAACCATCCTGTGGTGTTGGGTCCTCGCTTTGGAGACACAGCGCCCGCGCCCTGTTTCCTTCTCCTCCAGTTCCCTCCCCTCCGGCTCCTCCTCCTCCTCACCCTCCTCGCCTCTGCCCCTTGCGTGTCTCTGTTTTGGCACACCCCTCACACGCACCGTGGCACCATACGGAGCTCCACCGAAGGCCCCAGTGATGCAACCCGCATGGTGGCGCCGCTCCATGTTGGCACACCCCTCACACGCTTCGTGGCCCCATACGGAGCTCCACCGAAGGTCTCATTGGCGCAGCCCGCATGGCGCCGCCGCCCCATTTTGGCGCACCCCTCGCACGTTTCGTGGCCCCACTGGGGGTTCCACCTGAGGTCCCAGTAGCGCAGCCCGCATGGAGGCGCCGCTCCATTTCGGCAAACTCCTCACACTTGTCGTGGCCCCATAGGGAGCTCCATCTAAGGTCTCAGTGGCGCAGCCCGCGTGGCGGCGCCGCTCCATTTTGGCACACCCCTCACACGTTTCGTGGCCCGATAGGGAGTTCCACCTAAGGTCCCAGTAGCGCAGCCCGCATGGAGGCGCCGCCCCAGTTTGGCACACCCCTCACACTTTTCGTGGCCCCATCGAGACATTCGGGGCCCCAGTGGCGCAGCCCGCATGGCGGCGCCGCCCCATTTTGGCACACCCCTCACACGCGCTGTGGCCACATAGGGAGCTCCATGCACGGTCCCAGTGGCGCAGCCGAATTTTGTTTACACCCCTCACACGTTTCGACGCCCCATAAGGAGCTCCACCTAAGGTCTCCGTGGCGGACCTCGCATGGCGGCCCAGTGGCGGAGTTCGCATGGCGGCGCCTTTCGGTTTCTGACAGTTGTTCGCCGTATTCGACGTGTTGACACCGCTTTCGGGCCGCGCACCCCTGGCGGGAGCCAGCCTGCTCGATCTGCTCCGCGCAGCGGACGACCCGCGCGCATTGCTGGGAATCTTTCGGGGCGACCAGCGCGCGTCGCGGGGACTCCGTGCGGCGCCGCGCCGCAGCCTTCGACGTGGGCGTGCCCGGGCAAAGAGGGAGAAGAAAAACGGGAAGGAAGCGGGCGCGATCCTCGTGAGAGGCGCGCCGACATGGGCGTCGACATTTATGCATGTAGACTCACGCGCGCGCAGACTCATCCACAATCAGACTCACGCGCTCTCAGTCTCTCGCACACATTCCTATCGTCTTCGCTGGCGCTGTGTGCCCCGCCACGCATGTCGGCACGCCCCTCACACGGTTCGTGGCCCCATAAGGAGCGCGGGCGAACATGATATTGTTACTTGCGGTACTCACAGCTGCACATGGTTGGGTCCTTCGCCAGGCTCATTTTTGTTTCGCGACGGCGGCCCTCAGGGTCTCGGCTCGGCGCAGGCGCCCCCCCACCTAGGCCTGCGGAGTTGGGCAGGGACCGACCGTCCCGGCATTTCGATGGGCCTACCACGAAATGCTCCCAGAACCCAAAACAGTATCTTAAGACAAAGAAGCGCTCTTAGACCATAGCCCGATGTGCTAGAACAAAGACGGACTCAGCCAGGCATGTTCTCAGAACATGCTTTGGTGGGCCGACAGTGCGGAACGGGAAAATGACCACAGCCACTGCTTCTTCTTCGCGCCGCCTTCCAGCCGGCCGAAAAAAAAAAAACAGTGGTTGTGGTCATTTCCCTGGTGCCAAGCTCAACGAAAATGACCACAACCAGTGTTTTTTTCTGCGGGCTGGAAGGCGGCAGCAAAAGAAAAGCAGTGGCTGTGGTCGTTTTCGCGCCCCGTATACAGGCGAGCCAGGACGCCTCGCCACTGCTTGAGGGAGCGCTCCCGGGGGAGGCGCCGCCGGAGGCAACGACAAGGGGTGCGGGGGCCCGACGGCTCCGAGGGACCCGCGCGGGCCCAGCCCTCTCCGACGCTTTGCCCCGTTGTCCGTGCGGCGTCCCCGTCGTCGTCGCCGCCGTCGTCGTCGTCGCCGTCGCCGCCGTCGTCGTCGTCGCCGTCGTCGTCGCCGTCGTCGCCGCCGCCGTCGTCGTCGTCGTCGTCGTCGTCGTCGTCGTCGTCGTCGTCGTCGTCGTCGTCGTCGCCGTCGTCGCCGTCGAAGGCGGCTGCGCCGCCGTCGGCGGTGGCAACGGCGGGAGACCACAGTGGCTGTCTCTTTGGATCACTGCCCGGGGACCAGCAGCTTTTCGCCCCCGATTCCTCCGCGACGGTCCCGAGCGGCCTGGCGGGAGCCCCCCGACGCCAGAACGAGGAACAGCCGCAGCTTGGGCCTCTGCCGATACGCTGGAGGTCTGGGGAGCTCCTGGAGGCCTCCTAGATGGGGTCCGAGTAGATGGGGTCGGAGGATCTCGCCGCATCGCCGATGCATCGGCGATACGTCGGCGGTGCATTGGCGACGTCGGCGTCGAGAAAATGTGACCCCACATCGAGCCGCATCGCCGATGCATCAGCGATGCATCGGCGATGCGGCGCGATCCTCCGACCCCACCTACTCCGACCCCATCTGGGAGGTCTAGAAATACGTTGGAAGTCTGCGGAGTTCCGAAAGCTCGATGCTAGTACGCACGGGGGAACCAAATACCGATACCGCTACTCCCCCGACCTCTCCCGGGTTGCGTTCTGAACAGGATTTCGAGGCGAACCCAGCGGTTGCGACGAGGGCGTCCGAGGAGGCCCAAAAAGGGGAAAAGGCGACAAGGGTGCGGTATGGGTCTGGGGAGCTCCAAAGGTCAGGTTGGGCGTGCCCTCCTACAGGCGAATTTTGACGAAACGTAAAACAAAACTAGCCAAAACAGATTCAACAATTGTCAAACATAGTCGAAGAATCGTTCCCAAACAATTGTTGGACTATTTTTGGATACTCCTCCCATAGAGAGACACGCCCAATTGAATCCAAAGGCTCGATGCTCGGAAGGATTAAGGAAGATTAAGCCCGATTGGGGGGCTGTTACGCCAGTGGGCCTCGGATTAAGCGGGATGAAGCCGGATTAAGGGGAATTCAGCGGGATTAGACTGGATTTAGCGGGATGAAACCGGATTAAGCCGCATGTCGGACCAGGGCAAAATCAGAATGTGACCTCCCAGGAGCTGCATCCGAAGGGTAGCGCATGCATATGGAGCCACGACGGGCGCGAAGGAGCAGGGGCCGCGAAGGGCATGCATACATGGGGCCACGAAAAGGCAGCGAGGGGGCCACGAGGGGCTGCAACGGGGCCACAAGAAGGCAGCGAGGGGGCCGCGAGGGGCTGCAACGGGGCCGCGAAGGGCAGCGAGGGGGCCGCGAAGGGCTGCAACGGGGCCGCGAAGGGCGTGCAACGTGAGCGTTAGAGGTCCAGGGAGCCCCACGGGCTCGATGCTGGCGAGCGGTGCCGCTTCCGCCCTCGCCGCGAGGCCTTGCCGCCGCGCCTCAGCGGCAAGTCCGCGGCGGCGAGCCCGCGGGGCCGGGGCCCCGCGAGCGGGAGGCCGCACAGGCCCCCGGCCATGAGCCGCAGGTGCTCCTCGTTGGAGTTCCGGGGCCCCCAAACGGGGTGGTGACCACACCGTGCGGGGAGACGGTGGGGATTCGGGGTCACCGCACGGCTCTGGGACTCGAGGCCCTCGCCGAGGACGCCTCGGGCGACGGGGGCCTCTGGGGTCCCAAGACCGTGCGGTGACGGTCCGTGCGGTGAGGTCTTGGGGGAGTTCGAGGTCACCGCACGGTCTGTCACAGCACCGTCTCGGGACTCCAAAGGATTCCCGTAAAGGGCATGAAAATTACTGACACGATGCCGCCAAGAGGCACCCGAGAGCGCCCGTCGTCGTCGTCGTCGTCGTCGTCGTCGTCGTCGTCGTCGTCGTCGTCGTCGTCGTCGTCGTCTTCATCGTCGCCGTTCAGGGTCTGTGAGCCGCAGGTGCTCCTGTTTGGGACACCCGAAACGGGTGCAAAAAATAATGGGCACGATGCCCAACATTAGGAGGCAACTACTGGGAGGTTCTCGTCGGAAGGACTAAGGAGGATTAAGCCCCAGTGGGGGGCTGTTCGCCGGAGTTGGGATTCCCGAAACGAGTATAGTGCAGGCCCGACCAGAAGAAACCTTCCACAAGAAACCCAACCCTGAGACCCCAGGACGTCCATGGATTGTTGGTGTGGGGACGTCACGCTCTCCATTGCAAAACCATCGAAACCTAAGAAATCCAGAGCACCCTGGAGGCAACCAGGGTGTTTCTTGGCATGGGTCTCCAATGTGCTCCTGTTTGGGACTCCCGAAACGGGTATGATAAATCATGTTAGAAAGCAACTACTGAAAGGTCTTCGTCGGAAGGAGTAAGAAGAATTAGGCCTAAATGGGGTGCTGTTACGCCGGAGTGGGCCTCGGATTAAGCGGGATTAAGCCGGATGAAGCGGGATTAAGCGGGACTAAGCCAGATTAAGCGAAAGCCGGATTAAGCCAAAGATCGGACCAAGGCAAAATCAGAATTTGACCTCCCAGGAGTTGCATCCGAAAATGATGGGCACGATGCCCAACATTGGCGGCGAGCGAGGGAGGGAAATGAGAAGGAGATGGCCTTCTCAGAAGGCGGCGGGACTTCTCAGAAGGCCTCCGGCCTTCTGAGAAGTTGTCTCTGTCGTCGGGGAAGAAGCTTTTAGCCTGGGGGACATCCGAGCCTTCTGAGAAGGCCCGCCCCTTCTGCTTCCCTCCCTTGCTCGCCGCCGAACGATGCCCAACAACAGATCTTGTCCAAAAGCGGCAGCGGCCGCTGATGGGCAGGCAGCCTTCTGTTTCACACGGACCACGTCGGCGGCGCCATTGCCAGCGAGCCCCTTTGAAAAGGAGCAGGAAGTTGGTTCGGTCGTTGTATCCTGCGGTAGCAACGCGTGGGAGCCTCCCATACAATCCTGCTGGCTCTTACGAATTGACGCTGGTCGACGCTAGTCGTCGCAACATCGCCGCTGCATTGACGCTCATCGACGCTAGATCGGCGCTATTTCATCATCTCATCCACCACCAGACACTATATCGACGCCAGGAAGCTCTAAACGAGGATCTGCGAGGGTACACAAGGCTCCCATGACTTGCGACCGAACCCATTATTTCCGACCCTACAAGGGTCGGGAGCGACCAAGAGGGGGGTGTCCAAGAGGGGGGGGTGCGAATCATGACCGGAGGCATGTGCGCGGCCCAGCGGGGGGGCCAGGGACGTAATGAAATAAGGAGAGGCGCCACGAAACCTGGGGAAGATAATGGCCCCCGCCATGATGTCCAACCCCCCCCCCTAGTCATCACCCCCATCTCTGCCGCCGCCGATGCTAAGGAAACCAAAAAGCACCCATACCTCCACTCCTGGCCCTCTCCCGGGGCGCGGCCGGGCCAGGACTCCGAGGCGAAGCCGGCGCTGGCGACGCGGGCCTCCGAAGGAGGCCGTGAGAAAGGGGGAAGCGGGCGAAGGGCAGCGGCAGCGGTACACCCAACCCGCAGGGTAGTAAGGATGCATGATAAGGGTGCAGGGCCCTCGGACGCCCAGTTCGAAGCGTTTCGAGCGGGGCGCGGCCAACGAACGTGGCGAAGGAAGGACCGAGGAAGCGAGGATGCAAGGGTAGCCTTGGGAGGGATGCCTATCCTTACTCTGCGGGTTGACTGTACCTTTTCCTCCTCCGACCCTACTTGAGCAGGGACCGACAGTCCTGGCCTTCCTGTAGGCCTACCACGACATGTTCTTAGAACCAAGGACTGTCTAGGAACCCAACACCATGCCCTCAACACATAGGCACGATGTATCAGAACCAGACGGGCTCAGTCCGAAATGTCCTATGGGCATGTCGTGCAGACCGCAATCAGGCTCTCAGAACATTATTTGGCGGGCCTATGGGCAAGCCAGGACGCTTCGCCACTGCTCGACCTGACTCGCTTCTGGGGAGACCAGAAGGTACCGAGACCGCTACTCCCCGGACCTCTCCCGGGGTACGCTCTGACCAGCAGTTCGGGGCGAATGTAGCGGTGGCGACGAAGGTCTCCCAGGAGGCCCAAAAACGAAGGGAAAACGGGCGAAGAGCAGCGGCAACGGTGCCTGTTCCTTAAGGTCGGGCATGTCCTCCTACAGGCGGATCTTGGGGGAAGAAAGGGAACCATCGTCAAACAAAACACTTCGACAATGGTCCAGAAGAGTCGAGACAATCGTCCTCATACGATCTTCTACTCTTGGATGCTCCTCCTGTAGAGGGACACGCCCAGCTTACAGTGCGAGCGCGGCCGCAAGAAACCATCGCGAGAAACCCAACCCTGAGAACCCGCGCGCGAGGAGCACCCGAGGGGAAACCTGGAGCACCCTGAACGCAGCAGCTCCTCCAGCGGCCGCGGGAAGCCGCCGCGCGGCGCGCGGAGCGAGAAAACCCGGGATACCCTGCCGAAAAAAACTATGGCTTCTCCTCCTCCTCCTCCTCCTCCCTCCTCCTCCTCCTCCTCCTCCTCCTCCTCCTCCTCCCCCCGCTGGTAGCTCCTCCTCCTCCTCCTCCTCCTCCTCCTCCTCCTCCTCCTCCTCCTCCTCCTCCTCCTCCTCCTCCTCCCCCCGCTGGTAGCTCCTCCTCCTCCTCCTCCTCCTCCTCCTCGGAGCCTCGGCCCTCCCCCGGTCCTGGGGCGTGCCGCTCGCCAGCGGGCCCGCGGCGGCCGCGGGGGCGGCGCGGGCGCCCTCTCCTGCGGGCGCCGCGCGGGGGCAGGGTGCGCGGCGGAGCGGCGCCAGCTGAATGGGCCCCAGGACACACAAAAAAATACACACAAATAAAAAGATTCCCCATATTTTCCTATATTTTCTGGGTTTTTGTCGTCACCACCACTTCCAATATTTCCCCTATATTTTCTGGATAATCGAGGATTAATTGTGTCTGTATGTTTCTTTCCCTCCTGACCAGCACCGACCAGTGGGGGGGGGCCGCCGGCGGGGGGAGCCGGGGATGGCCCCCTCCCTGGTGCCCCAAGGATCGGCCACCCTCAGAAAACTAAGATTCAGCTATGTTAAAGTTATGAAGTTCAGGGCTTGGGTTAAGGGCAACAATAAGTTAAAAACATGCTATTTAAGTTAAGGGCGAACTTAAGTTCACTGTGTTAGGGGTCCCGCACCATGGTGCGGGACCCCCCCCTGCGAGGCAGGGGTCCTTATCCAGATCCACCGCCTTAGAGCCGACGTCCTGGAGCCCCAGCGGGCGGCGGGTATGGATATATATATATATATATATATATATATATAATATATATATATGTATGTATATATATATATAGATAGATAGATATATCGGCCACCGGGCGCCCGAATGTGTCCATGGCCACCACCTGCCGAGGCTCTGAAAGCTGAGCCTCCAGGCGGTGGTCCATGGACCCTCCCCCCCCGCTGCTCGAGACGCCCCCGATCCCCAGCTCGGGGAGGCATCGCGGACCTCCTCGCGTAGGATTTGTGCTCCTTCGATCGCTGGCGCCGCTTCTCTCCCCCCCCCGGGGGGGGGGGGGGGCGAGGCGGCGCCGGGGCCGCACAGGGCCCCCGCCGGGCTGCAGGGCCGCAGGGCGGCGCCCCCGGCGTTGGGAGGCAACTGCTGTGAAGGGGCCCCAGGACGCACAAATAAATAGACACAAATAAAAGGATTCCCCATGTTTTCCCATATTTTCTTGGCTTTTGTTTTCCCCCCCCCTTCCCATGTTTTTCCCATATTTCTGGGGAATCGGCAATTAATTGTGTCTGTATGTTGATTCCCTCCTGATGCTGGGAGGCCTTCGCTGGAAGGATGGCGAGACGAGGTCAGGACGAGGACAACCTCGGGCGAGGATGGCAGGAGGCCGCGTGCGAACCCTACCCCACCACCCCACGATCTCTGAGGGGCGAGGTGGGGTTCACTTCGCTCGGCCCCCCCCACCCCACCCCCCCACCCGAGGGGCGGGCCACGCGAGTCAGGGCGAACCGCGGACCGGACGGGGTAGAAAGTCGGGAAAGCACCGCCCCCCGCGCGAGAGAGAAACAGCGGATGAGGGGGGGGGAGCGAGGAAGGGAAGGGCGACCGCGGAGCAGGCGCGGAAAAAGGAGGCGCGGTCGGGCAGGAACGGGCAGAGCTGGAGAGCGAAAGGGACACACCGCACCGCGCTGGCGCGGGATGAAGTCGGCCAGGGTGGATCGGGAAGGGGTGGACTGAGTTGGGCGAGGAGGGGCGAGGGGGAGCAAGAGGAGTGGGGGTAAAAAGGACGGCGGGGGGAAAGGGGGAGGCGTCGGAAGAGGAGGACGAGGCCAGACACGGCAGCGCCCGTTTTGAAGCCCTGGATCCAGGCAAAGAGGAAGAACGTGCCGCTCCAACACTTTCCTTCATAAGGGAAGCCGCCCCTCATCATAAGTTCTGGGCTACGGGGCCTGGGTTGGTTCCCAGTCACGAAATTCCTCGCCTCATAAAAGGGATGCGCCCCAATTTGTCTGTCAAATGAGATGATGCAAACCGGCCAACACGATCGAACGTGCACACATCCCACCAGCCCTTTGGGCGACAGGTGGTCAAACGAGGGCCTCTTTCCTCTTCCACAGCCACTCTTCCCTTCGGAAAAAGGGGAACCATCCCCCTCCCCTCCCTCGGCTTTTTTGGTGGAGAAAAGGGGGACCGATGTGTGAGAGGGCCCCTTTTTTCCCGGCCCCTGGGGGGGCCAATGTTTGAGACCCTTTCACGAGGATCGTGACCCCGGAGGGGGGGAGGTATATTTAGGGCCCCCCCCCCCTCTTTTGACCGACCGCCTCCAAAATGGCCCCAGGAGACGTTCCAGGGTTCCCCCCCGGAAAAAAACCAAGAGGGCTCCCAAAGCGCCTCAAGAGGCCCCAAGAGGGTTCCAAGAGGCACCCGAGAGGCACCCAAGAGGCCCCCGAGCGGCCTCAGAGAGCCCAAGATGACCTCCAAGATGGCTCCGATAGCCCAAACTGGCTCAAAATGGCTCCCAAAATGCACCAAGCGGCCCCAAGACCGCTCCAAGACGGCTCGAGATGTCCACGGAGCCTCCCGAGCCTCCCTCGCTGTTTGACTATGCGTGTCGCTTCCTCCTCCCCACCAATTCATGGGCATCGTTTCTGGATGGGCTGGTGGGGATACGTCTTCGTTCGCGAGCGCAAACGGAAGGGCCGCGCGTCGTCTAAAACTACAGCTAACAAGCAGGAGCCCAAATTGCACACGAGAGGGAGAGAGGAAACGAGAGAGACAACAAGTGAGCTGGTGGGGATGCTCCTTTTGGCTCGCAACTGCAAACGGACAGCCGGGCGGCGTCGTGAAGTCGCACGAAAACCAGGCCTACAGGGAGCAGGACAGATGCCCACACTACAGCAGGCGAGCGCGGAAAAGGGAGCTAGAGGGGGGTAAGGCGGGGCTGGTGGGGATACGCGAAGGGTCAAGAATTGTTCGGGAGGGCGAAAGAGTGAAGTACTGCCCATGGCAGAATGCCGCCGTCTACTATGGGCCACAAGAATGTGTTGCGAACACAACCGTATACATTTGGCACATACCGAACATGGCTTGTGACGACCTTAGAACCACCCATGAGCCACTTAGACTCTGATTCGTTTTCCAAGCCTGCTGCAACCCTGGCGTAGACAGGGCATAAAACTCGCAACCACGCGGTGTGAATGCCGCACAAAAGCCTGGCTCTCTTCACTGTCCGCGATGTCATGGTCGCGATGCCACACTGAGCGAAGTTCGAGCCTGACAGCAACGCGAGCAAGTCTAGTCTGTGAGAGTCCCAACGGGATGTGCTCGAACAGACACAATACATCATAGTTCGAATTTTCAGTGGAACGCAAATGTGTTTGCGCACGCGTTGGAATGAAACCAGAGCTGTTCGCCACGTCCAACGAAGTTCCGTAAGTTGTTGCTGTGGGACCTAGCGGTGTAGACGCCGACTGCATCAAACTTGTAACTGAGCTAGAACGAGCTAATAACCCACACGTTAAGTGTTTACTGACTGCTAGCCACGAGGAATATGAGCTGGAGCTGCTGAATTAATACAATCAGCGTCCATGGAATTAGCAACTGGTTTAAATTCTGCCACGCATGATGTAACTCAAGGTGTCAGAGATACAATTTTTCGCTGGGACAACTGCAACATACGTCATAACATAGCGATACAAAAAAACGGCCAACGCAAACTCCTCTAACTGAGTCGTCTGATAACGGTTCTGGGACCCGGCGAGGGCCCCCAGACGCCCAAAACGGCGGAACAAAAACGCCAAGATTCGCGCATGCCTGGGCACATTCACCGCGGATGCGCAGCGGTACTGCGAGTGCGCCCCCCCCCCCCGCGGTGGTGGGGGCGCACTCGCGGCACTGCAGCGCCGCGGCGCGGGGGTGCACGCAACGGCTTTCACTGGAGCGCTCCAGAGGGCGTCGTCGTCGTTGTTGGGATGAACAAATAGTTACCGATACCGCTACTCCCTGGACCCCTCCTGGTGTGCGTTCTGACCAGAACTTCGAGGCGAATCCAGCGGTGGCGACGAGGGCCTCCGAGGAGGCCCAAAAATGCGGAAACGAAGGAAGGGTAGCAGTATGAGTACCTTTTCCTCCTCTGAATCGTCGTCGTCGTCGTCGTCGTCGTCGTCGTCGTCGTCGTCGTCGTCGTCGTCGTCGTCGCCGCCCCCGGGGGCCTCCGGCGGCAGCGACTGGCGCGGCGAGCGACGGCGGGGCACCGAGGCCCGTGGCCACGGTCACCCCGGGCACGCCGGGGGGCGTGGGGAAGTGGGTCAGCACCGCGCGCAGCGAGGGCTGCCCCTGGTGGGGATCAGCCGCAGGTTGGGATGCGGGCGATACTTGTGTCCATATCCAGTGCGTCTTGCACTTTCTTGGAAGGGGCGCAGCAGGGACGAAGCGCACTGGACATGGATGAAAATCGAGCCTTTCGGGGCCAGATTTTAATCCACATCCAGTGCGCCTCATGTTTCTGGGGAAGAGATCCCGAAACTCCAAGACGCAGTGGATGTGGATATAGACGTTGCCCGCATAGGAGGCAACTACTGGGAGGTCTTCGTGGGAAGGATTAGGGAGAGTTGAGCCCCATTGGGGGGCTCTTGCGCTAGATAAGGCCGCGGATTAAGCGGGATTCAGCCGAATTCAGCGGAATTAAGCCGGACTAAGCGGGATCAAGTCGGATTGAGCGGGATCAAGCCGGATTACGCCTGGGTCAGCGCCTCGCGCAGCGAGGGCTGCCCCTGGCGGGGATCAACCACAGGAAGGGGCCCAAGGACACACAAAGAAATACACACAAATCCCAGGGTCCCCCCTATGTTCCCAGATCTTCTGGGTGTTCGTCTTCCCCCCCACTTCCCGCATTTTCCCAGATTCCTGGGGATCGACGATGCATTGTGTCTGTGTGTTCTTTCCCCTCCTTCTCACAAGGAGCCCGCAAACGATGTGCGCGCCCAACCGCGTAAACGAACGCGGCCCCCCAGTCCGCGAGGCCGGCCGCGTGATACGTACGAAGAGTCGCGCAATGCGCGCTCTTGAGACCAACGTGGATTCATGTACTCGTACGTCCTTCTTTCGCTCCTGAAGCTACTCGATCTTTTCCCGAGCAGTGCGGCCAAAGGGCGCCCGCCTCGCCGCATACACGATAGGATTTCTCGGTGGGCGCATCGCCCCTAGGTAGGGGCGGCGCACACATAATATCAGTATGTTGAGGTGACGCCGAGTCGAGGGTCCTGGGGGCCCGAAAAAGGCGAAGCATCTCGGAGGCCATCTCCCCCAGGAGCCCTTCCTCGCCATCGCTCGGACGTCCACTCCCCGCACATGTTGCGGCAACGTGCGCGCATTTGTTCTCGAAGGATGGCCCAAGGTTGCTCCTCGAGGGTCCTTGCCGAGAAAAAATGCACCCGTCCGAACGATGCCCAAACCAGCATCGCATCGGAAGATCGGATCGAATCGGAACGGGCGTCGGATCGCCCGAATATCCGAATCGAATCTGGTCGGGCCTGCCGGAATCGGCGTCGAATCGGATCGACCAGATCCAAGTGGACCCTTCCCCTGGTAAGGAACAGAAGCTCCGGCGTCACGGGGCAACCCTGAGACCCAGGCGTCGCAATTGCTTCGACTCTGGAGTTTCGGCATGGTTTCGGGCCTTTTGGACCCTCAAAGATCGATGCGGATGAACCTCCTTCCTCCTCCGCCTCCTCCTCCTCCTCCTCCTTCTCCTCCTCCTCCTCCTCCTCCCCCCCGCTGGTGCCCCCCCCGAGTTGGACACCTGCTCTGGGGCTGGAGCCACTCGCTCCACTCATGCGCCGGTGATCTGCATCGGTGCTGCGTCAAACGTGCGTCGACTGGAGTCAAGCTTAGATCGAACGTGCGTCGACTTGAGTCGAAACATAAGCGAATGATATTCGGACTAGAGTCGAACCGATCCGAGAGGTACCCCCCAAGGAGGGCCCCAGAGCAAACATGTAATGACGGGGTCTGGTCGTGATGTGTTGCGGTGCCGCATTTCTGTTCGCAACGAGGGCTGCCCCTGGCGGGGCGCAAAACAACACTCAAATCTCCAACGCATCGAAAAACAACACGGAATTGCACTTCCGAACCCCCTCGCGTCGTGAACAATGTTTCTGGCCCTGTTCTGCGTCTGGAAAGCCTCGCCAAACCTCGGCATTGCCAACAAATTGCCTAGGATACCAAAAACAAGAGAAGGGTTCTATGTGGTGCAGCCTGTGTGGTACAATGTTTGCGGTGCGATCTATGTGGTGCGGCCTGGATGGTGCGATCTAGAGTGTGCAATATATGCCGCGCGGTGTACGATGTGCAACCTATATTATGCCAACATGTGAGGTGCAATCTATGCGATGCAATATATGTGGTCCCAGCTATGCGGTGACACCCAAGTAGTGCGAATTATGGTGTGCTGCCTATGTTTTGCCATATACGAGGTGCGACTTACGTTGGGCAATATATGCTGTGAGATCCACGTTGTGCATTATATGCGGCGCAATTTATGTGACACAATCTACGTGATGCTATGTGTGCGGTACCATCTACGCGGTGAAAATTCACCTTGTCGAACTTGAAATTGTCAACTCCACTGCTCGCCCAAACATTCCACCCACCCACCAGCAACTTGGTTTGCAAAACCCATGCGGCGGCGATTGCGATGAATGCCTGGTGTTGGCTGGTGCATCTCTGCGGCCGCGCTAGCCGGCGCATGCTCGCGCGCGCAGCGGCCAGCTAGTTTGGCGCGACCGACGCGGCCGCGGTGGCGCTGACCTTTGGGCACACCCCAGCGGGCACTTCACTGCGAGTCGGCGACTTGGGCGGGCGCGGTAGCATGGCAACGTCGACAACGGTTGACACGATGATGATGATGATGATGATGATGATGATGATGATGATGATGATGATGATGATGATAGCGGCGCTGGTGACGATGACGGCAGCGGCGACGGCACGGCCAGTGACGGCGCCGATGCTGATCACGCCGCCGAAGACGACGGCGTCCCGCGTCGGCGATGAAGGTTTGGAAGGACTTCGACGTGCGCGCGCGGTCGACGCGCGAGTGGCCCGCAAGGTATGATTTGATGCGGATCGCTCCCCCCAGCGCGCGCGCCAGGGCGTCGGAATGAGTTTTCGACATGCGGCGCGAGGGGCTCATTTGGCAGAATCCAACGAATATGTTAAACAACACATGGCTCCGTGGGAGTTCGCAAGAGCACGAACGCCGTCGTTGTTTGAAAACTGTTGTTCCGAATAAGTGTGTTTTCATATGGTGTTTAGACACTCGGTTTTGCAATCCCTACACAACCAAAAGGTTCTTGAAGGAGTTTGGCATGCGCGCGCGACAACGCGCGCACGCACTTCGTCCCATGTGTTGCAAATGATTCTCGCGACAACACGCGAGGAAGGGCGTTCGAACGACTTCGACATGCGGGCGCACGAAGCCCGGTTTGGTAACATGGTCTGGGAATGTTGAAAACATATCGCTTTTCCTCAGAATTCGTGAAAACACGGGCGCAGGCTTGTGTCTGAAAATCCGTGTTGCGAAACCATGTGTTTCATATGGTTCTGGGACACTGGATGTTGACATCCTTACGAAACCGATCGGCATGCGCGCGCGACGACGCGCGCGTGTGCACTGTGCCTCATCTGTTGCACAGGATTCTTGAGCATTAATGAGTTGTTGATAAACGAGTGCGCGCTTAGTATTGTTGTGCAGAGAATGGCGGGTGTCGATACCTGTTGGGCTGGGATGGTGTGGATTAATATTTCGGATGCACGATGGAACGGAATCATGCATTAATTGCAATACGACGTGGGGAGCCGATAATCCAGGGGTAGATAAATTGATTTTATGTATTTATATGTATAAAGGAGAATACATGCGAGGCGGCGAAGCGGCGGGGACGAGCCGGTGACGTGCGACAAAGGCGAGCACGGAGCCGCCAGACCGCCACCCAGGCCCAGACGACGGGCGGCGACGATGAGGCGACTGGGCGGCGACGGCAATCACGAAGCCGCCAGACCGCCCACCAGGCCCAGACGACACGCGGCGACGAGGCGGCGACGGGGCGGCGACGGCAATCACGGAGCCGCCAGACCGCCACCCAGGCCCAGTTAACATAATAGAAGGAAGAACCCCTTCTGTGCAAGCAACGTTTTGGGAATAAAGGGCTATGAAACTAGATTCAGGGTATATTTGTGAAGCCAGGCCAGTCTAGATTCAGCCCAGGATTAGGCCCGATTGCGCAAGACTAGACCAAATGAGCTGGGATTACGCCGAATGAGGCAGGATCAAGCTGGATTAGGCCTGTTTTCGAGAACGGATCGACCAGCGCCAATGCTGCATGCACGTATTCTCCCAAGAGGTGCATCCTAACACGACCCCGACCTCCAACGCAATGAAAAACAACGGATGTAGGTTGTTCGTGCAGTTCGGCGCCTACGGGCCCCGCTGGGCCCCTGGACGGTTAGGGAACGACCCAGGCCGAAAAATCGCTCCCCGGGAAGTGCTCCAGCAGTCTGAGACCCCGTATTGACAAGGCCTCGGAGGGCTGGGGTCAGCTCTGCGCCGGGACCCCAAGGACTTCAACTGACCTGATAGGGCGACGAGATCTATACATATCCACTGCTCCTGGCCAGGCCCATCCTGGGCCCAGGAGCTGTGTATATGCCTTCCTGGCCAGGCCAGGAGGGCGTATACACCGCTCCTGGGCCCAGGATTGGCCTGGCCAGGAGCAGTGGATATGCATAGATCTCGTCGCCCTACCTGACCAATCAGCCGCGGGACTGCCGCCTCAGGACTGCAATTTGGGCGTCGCTCCATGGGGGGGCGAGGAAACCAGGGGGAAAAGAAACACACAGACACAATTAATCGTCGACTCCCAGGAAAATATGCAAAAATATGGGAAGTGGGGGGGAAGACAAAAACCCAGAAAATATGGGACAATATGGGGAATCTTTTTATTTGTGTGTATTTATTTGTGTGTCCCAATTTCCCTTTAGAAAACTGGGGGGGGGGAGGAGGAAGGTGCACTTCTCGGGCCCCAAAGGCCCCCTCTGGGCCCCAAAAGGGGCCCATTCACGGGCCCCAGAAGCCCCTCCTTGCTCGGCAGCCCTCACTGCTCTCCCATTTTGACTACCTACCAGACCACCCCAACCCAACCCGAAGACCCGAATTTCGGGTTGGGGGGGGTATGGGTTCCATAGGTGTTTTTTCGGTGTTCCCCGACCCCCCCCAACTGGAGATCGAGGGTAAATCTGAGCCTTCGGGTTGGGTTGGGGTGGTCTGGTGGGTGGTGACATTTATCGCCCCCACACGACACGACGCCCAACACAATTCGGGGATCTTCTGACCCAGGTCAATCCAGACCCCGGTCAGTCAGGCCTTGCAAGATACTGCAGGAGATCCTGCAGGCTTCTGCAGGATCCTGCACCAAGCCCGGGTCAGTGCACCCCCGCCCTGCAGAATCCTGCAGGATCCTGCAGGACCCGGCGCTCTGACTGACCCTGCCAGAGTGCTAAAAAATAGCACTCCAGACCTACAGATCTGGGCTGCCTCAAACCTCGCCAGGAATTAGGACGTCGACGTCCTGGTGCTACTCTTTAGCCCTCTTGAGAGGCCAGGGTCTTGAGCCCCGAACAAAGAGTCAGGTCAGCGCTCTGGCCTCCCGGGCATCGCTTGACGGGGGCCCCGGCCAGCCGGGACGCCGACTGCACGCCAGTCGGAAGAGGTAGGTAAAAATGTGCAGAAGGAAGGCGGATAAAGCAGATTGGGCTCAGGCCATCTCTGACAATGACCAAGCACAGCAGAAGCATATCGATACTTGAATCTGGACGGCTCTTGAAGTGCACCGAGACCCGGGGATCCAAAAATACCGACTCTCCAACGAGCTTTCGAACCCGAGCCTGGGCGCTGGAGTCGCCGCGGGTGTGGTTGGAGGGCATGGCGTCGGGCCCGCTGCTGCGGTGGGTGCCGGCAACGCCTTCCAGAGCTTATGGCAGGTTCCAGCTGCACACCCTGCGGAGCACGCTCCAGCTCGGGCCAGGACGGCCACGGGGAGATAGAGAGGGGAGAGGGCCGGGAGGGGGAGGACAGGGGAAGACGGAGAGGAGTAAGAGCGAGGATGAAAAGGAGGAGGAGGAGGAGGAGGAGGAGGAGGAGGAGGAGGAGGAGGAGGAGAGGGAGGAGAGGGAGGAGCCCAAGAAGACGGATGCGGGGAAGACTGTACGGGGAGGGCGAATGGGAACGAGGAGCGAGGAGAAAGCATCAGACGCCGCATTGCAATGTGATGGTAACCCTTGTGATCGAGCCGGTGTCATGGCAATACGAGGGCGGTGTTCAACGCGGGCCTTATGCAGCACTGCGCTAAACACGTTTTTGTGCTCGCGCTGGTACGAGAGTATCACCGGCGAGAGATCATCAACAACGACATCACGAACAACGAGTGTGTCAGAGCAAGATGCCGCCATTCCGCCGATGCTCCATCCAGCGTCCCCTACAGAAGCGTTCCACGTTGAATACTCTGCCCTGCTGAGACAGGCCGAGGCATCCACTCGAGAATGGAAATAACCGACGTGCTTCCCCAGGCGAAGTGCTTGATGGGAATAACCGACCGTGCTCCCTCCCCCAGGCCAGTCCACAAGAAACCTTCCACAAGAAACCCAAGCCTGAGACCCCAGGACGTCCATTGATCTGGTTGTGGGAACGCCGGGCTTTCCGCAGCAAACCATCGAAACCCAAGAAACCCAGGGCACCCTGGAGGCAAGCAGGGTGTTTCTTGGCATGGGCCTCCACTGCACTTCAACGCACGCCAGCACAGAAGGTGTCCTGATCAACTCAGCTTGGCGGGCTAAAGGGGGGACGGAGCGAGGGGGGACACCCGGCCTCTCTCAAGACCGTCTGCCTCCTGGGAAGCCTTCTCGGCGGCCTCTACAGAGAGGGGGCCAACATTTGACCAAGCCCTCCGCCTCCTTCGTAGGCTGACCACGGCGCACTGCCCTCTGCTGCGCATGTTACATTGCTCCACGAATTCTCTGAGAAGCTCCACTAAGTTCACATCTGCCGCCAGCCTGATCTTCTGCGCCTTCAGGTGCTCCTGGCCAGCCACTCCAAAGGCCTTGAGGTCTTCGTTCAATCTGGCCACTTTCTTCTTCAGCTCGGCCTCCAAAAACAAGGGGGCCACGGAAAAAGGGGGATATGGTATAGCAGCGAGAGATTAGACTCATCGACAGGTTCGTGACCCGATATGACCAGGTCGCATGGTGCCTCCGACGTCCTACCTAGCCCCCACTATAACCAGCGCATACAGTCAACATACCGGGGCAACCCAACAAGACGAAGCTAGGACGAGGATAACATCGGGTGAGGATACATCGAAGATCTCTGACATCCAGCGGCTCTGGAAAATGTCTCGGGCGCCGCGGCCTTCTCAAAGGGTTCCGGATCGCTTTGAGAGCGTCCCGCAACGCTCTGGGACAGACTTATCCCCGTCCTAGCCCCGTCTGGCCCACGGCTTGGCTCAATGCCCTCGCCTCGCTGATTGTACACGACACCGCGCCGTCGCCGCGCCAGAAAGCGGCAGGATGACTGGCTACTGCATCACGTACGTCGGCGTTCAGCTGGGTTCCTACAAAGCGACGTTAATCGACGCTCTCGTCCGACGCCAACGGACGCTAAATCGACGCCAATCGATGCTAGTCGATCCCAAGTGGACGCAAAAAATCCGCGCTGCCCAATCAATAAAAATTACCAGACGCGAGCGCCCTGCAAGCTCCCACGACTAGGTACCGAGCGGAAGTTCATGTTTACGCGAATGCTTCCTCTTCGAGCAGAGACCTTCCCGATCTGGGTTGTCCATCCATTCCTGGGGTGGCAGGGACTAAAGTTAAGTCGGGCCTGTCCCCCCACAGGTGGATTTTCGACGAAAATTAAAACATACCCGAAACATACCCTGACAACATTCAAAATTTGTCAGAAAATAGTTCCATTACTATTTTTTAACTATTTTTGACTATTCCTCCTGTAGAGGGCCAGGCCCGACTTAAGCCTGAATTCGACTCGGCAAGTCGGACCGTCGATCGGAGTGCAACGGCTCGGCAGGAAATCGGCAGCAGAGCTGGGAGAAGTCGGATCGGCGGAGCTCGGAAGGCCAGCAGGGCCTCCGTATCGAAACACTGGCATCCACGTCCTTCTCCTCCTCCTCCTCCTCCTCCTCCTCCTCCTCCTCCTCCTCCTCCTCCCCGAAACATCTGGGGTCGCACCGCATCGCAGTCGAAATCGATCGAAATCGCATCGCATCAGATCGGAGGCTGCCTACAAGAAGAACAACCGCAACAACAACAACAACAACACCAACAACAACAACAACAACAGCAACAACAGCAGCAACAACAGCAACAACAGCAACAACAACAACAACAATCATTTAAGACTGGGGACACACCGTTCTCACCAGTGCCAAGGTTTTCATAGGAGGCGGGCAATACCCCCACTTTGTGGGGGGGCCGGTTCAAGCTCTACCAAATTTCCATACGACTCTTCGCCACCACCCACACCCAGCTTCCCGCCCTATGACGTTCGGACACTTCACTTCGTGGCATGCGGACGACCGTGGCTACTATTCAGGGCCCCGCGGCCGACGACGACGGCGTGCGCGCGCGAAGAAAAAACGAATGTGTCCAATATGGTATTATTTGACAGGGATGATGGCCCTGGCATGCGCGCAACCGTTGTTGCAGAAGTTCGAAGCACGTGAAAAAGTTGCTCGCAAGAGCCCGTTTGACAGAAATGTTGAAAAATATTGGGTTTCCTCAGAAATCCGCAAGAGCGCGCAAGATGATTGTTTGAAACTTTTTTTTGAAAAACCACTGGGTTTTTCATGTTTTTATGTTAAAATCGCTACGAAAACTAAGGTTTTGGAAGGATTTCATCTTGCGCGCGCGAGTGTGCACTTCGTGTCATTTTTTCAAAAGGATTCTTGAAGTTTGGTTATGTTAGAACAAGAAATTTCATGTTATAGTGTTTGTTGCAAGGGAAAGCGGGGGACAACAAAACAACCGGATCCGGACGCCCCCGTTTTGCCTGAGACTTCCTCACGAAAATTATGAAAATGTGGCTGCGGCCTAGGCGCGGCGGGGGGGGCGCGCACCAGGGGTCCCAACAATAATTATTCTTAAGAAGAAATAATGTTCAACAACAACAACAACAACAAGGTACAGGCCGGCATGGTCCCCCCGGGGTCCGGGGCTTCACTTCCCGCGTCCGCCACAGTGGATGAGGCCGGCCCCGCCCCCCCAGTGAATCGGAGGGGGGGGGGAACAACACAACACAACACAACGAATTCTGTACGAATTCTGTACGAATTCTGTACAAATTCTGTACGCATTCTGTACGAATTCTGTATGAATTCTGTATGCATTCTGTATGACTTCTGTATGAATCCTACAAGCTCCCTACGGATTCCCATCGGAATCCGTTCGGGACCCTCTCGGAGTCTTTGGATCCCTCCAAGGGCTCTATAGAATCCCTGTGGATCCCTCCAGGGACTCTATAGAATCCCTGTGGATCCACCTCCAGGGACTCTATAGACTCCCTCCAGGGACTCTATAGAATCCCTGTGGATCCCTCCAGGGACTCTATAGAATCCCTGTGGATCCCTCCAGGGACTCCCTGTGGATCCCTCCAGACTCCCTCCTCTATAGACTCTATAGACTCCCTCCAGGGACTCTATAGAATCCCTGTGGATCCCTCCAGGGACTCTATAGAATCCCTGTGGATCCCTCCAGGGACTCTATAGAATCCCTGTGGATCCCTCCAGGGACTCTATAGAATCCCTGTGGATCCCTCCAGGGACTCTATAGAATCCCTGTGGATCCCTCCAGGGACTCTATAGAATCCCTGTGGATCCCTCCAGGGACTCTATAGACTCCCTCCATCCCTGTGGATCCCTCCAGGGACTCTATAGAATCCCTGTGGATCCCTCCAGGGACTCTATAGAATCCCTGTGGATCCCTCCAGGGACTCTATAGACTCCCTCCAGGGACTCTATAGAATCCCCTGTGGATCCCTCCAGGGACTCTATAGACTCCCTCCATCCCTCCAGGGACTCTATAGAATCCCTGTGGATCCCTCCAGGGACTCTATAGAATCCCTGTGGATCCCTCCAGGGACTCTATAGAATCCCTGTGGATCCCTCCAGGGACTCTATAGAATCCCTGTGGATCCCTCCAGGGACTCTATAGAATCCCTGTGGATCCCTCCAGGGACTCTATAGAATCCCTGTGGATCCCTCCAGGGACTCTATAGAATCCCTGTGGATCCCTCCAGGGACTCTATAGACTCCCTCCAGGGACTCTATAGAATCCCTGTGGATCCCTCCAGGGACTCTATAGAATCCCTGTGGATCCCTCCAGGGACTCTATAGACTCCCTCCAGGGACTCTATAGAATCCCTGTGGATCCCTCTAGGGACTCTATAGACTCCCTGTGGATCCCTCCAGGGACTCTATAGACTCCCTGTGGATCCCTCCAGGGGACCCTCTATAGAATCCCTGTGGATCCCAGGGACCTATAGAATCCCCCTCCAGGGATCCTATCAATAGACCCCAGGGACCCTCTGAGAGGATCCCTGTGGATCCCTACAAGCATCCTAGAGGATCCCTGTGGATCCCTACAAGCATCCTAGAGGATCCCTGTGGATCCCTACAAGCATCCTAGAGGATCCCTGTGGATCCCTACAAGCATCCTAGAGGATCCCTGTGGATCCCTACAAGCATCCTAGAGGATCCCTGTGGATCCCTACAAGCATCCTAGAGGATCCCTGTGGATCCCTACAAGCATCCTAGAGGATCCCTGTGGATCCCTACAAGCATCCTAGAGGATCCCTGTGGATCCCTACAAGCATCCTAGAGGATCCCTGTGGATCCCTACAAGCATCCTAGAGGATCCCTGTGGATCCCTACAAGGAGGATCCCTGTGGTCCCTACAAGCATCCTAGAGGATCCCTGTGGATCCCTACAAGCATCCTAGAGGATCCCTGTGGATCCCTACAAGCATCCTAGAGGATCTGTATGGATCCCGTGTGGGGCCACGAACCGTGTGAGAGAAGCGCCGAAATGGGCCCGAAACTTTCGGCTGCACCCCCTGTGGGGCCACGAACCGTGTGAGGGGTGCGCCGAAATGGGCCCGAAGCCTTCGGGTGCGCCACATGTGGGGCCGCGAAAGCCTTCGGCTGCGCACCTTGTAGGGCCACGAACCGTGTGAAGGGTGCGCCGAAATGGTCCCGAAGCCTTCGGCTGCGCCCCCTGTAGGGCCACGGGCCGCGTGATGGGTGCGCCGAAATAGTCCGATGGAACCCTGTAGGGGTTCTATGGGACTCCGATGGAACCCTGTGGGGGTCGAATGGGAGTCCGATGGAACTTTGTAGGGGTTTTATGGGCGTCCTATGGAACCCTGTAAGGGTCGTGTGGGAATCCTATGGAACCCTGTACGGATCCCACAGGATCCTCCTGTAGGGGTGCGTTGTGTTGTGTTGTGTTGTTCCCCCCCCCCCCTCCCCCCATCCCCCCCGGGGGGGCTTGCCCCGCCTGTATCAACAACAACAACGACAACGACAACAACAACAACAACAACAACAACAACAACAACAACAACAACAACAACAACAACAACAACAACAACAATTACAACAACAACAACAACAACAACAACAACAACAACAACAACAACAACAACAACAACAACAACAGCAACAATAACAGCAACAATAGCAACAACAGCAACAACAGCAACAACAGCAACGACAACAACAACAACAACACAGGCATAAACTTTTGACGGGCGAATTTCGCGGATTTGGGCTGGCCCCCCTCCCTGGCGCGCGGAGCGCGCCAGGGGCGGTGCCGGAGGCGCCGCCAGGGAGCCCCCGCACGGATCCGAGAAATCTGCGCGGCGCATCGAAAATGTATGTTGTGCTCTTTCTCCTCGGACGAGCCCTCCCGCGGTAACTGGTCTCCCAGACGCAACTTCAGCCACTCGCGCGGGCGCCCTCCCGTCGCAGAGTGTACGCCCCCCCACCACGAGGAGGGAGAGAGTCGCCCGAAACGCTGCACCCCAGCGCCCCTCGCCGGGGCGAGAATGATGTCATGATATGTTGTTGCATCAT